ACCTTGGAGGTCATCTAGTCCAACCCCCTGCTCAGGCAGGAAACCCTATACCATTTCGGACAAATGGCTGTCCAGTCTCTTCTTAAAAACTTCCAGTGTTGGAGCATTCACCACTTCTGGAGGCAGGTTGTTCCACTGGTTAATTGTTCTAACTGTCAGGAAGTTTCTCCTTAGTTCTAGGTTGCTTCTCTCCTTGATTGGTTTCCACCCATTGCTTCTTGTCCTGCCTTCAGGCGCTTTGGAGAATAGCTTGACTGCCTCTTCTTTGTGGAGGGAGAGATATTGAAACACTGCTATCATGTCACCCCCTAGTCCCTCTCTTCATTAAATTAGACATACCCAATTCCAGCAGCCGTTCCTATATGCTTTAGCCTCCAGTCCCCTAATCATCTTTGTTGCTCTTCTCTGTACTCTTTCTAGAGTCTCAACATCTTTTTTACATCGTGGTGACCAAAACTGGATGCAGTATTCCAAGTGTGGCCTTACCAAGGCATTGTAAAGTGGTATTAATACTTCACGTGATCTTGATTTTATCCCTCTGTTAATGCAGCCTAGCACTGTGTGGGCTTTTTTGGCAGCTGCAGCACACTGCTGGCTCATATTTAAGTGATTGTCCACTAGGACTCCGAGGTCCCTCTCACAGTTACTACTATTGAGCAAGGTACCCCCTATACTATACCTGTACATTAGGTTTTTCTTGCCTAAATGTAGAACCTTGCTTTTTTCACCATTGAATTTCATTTTGTTAGTGCCCAGTGTTCAAGTCTTATTGTATATGTTTAGCTGATTGATTTAATTTCCTGCACTGGGCATTGAATTGGACTGATTTTCTCGCTCCTTCTTTTCTATTTTAAAAATGGATATATTAGTTTTGTTGTGCAAAATGTGAAATTAGTTTACACTAGAAGAATTATACATATATTAATATAGTAATATCATTAATAAAATGCTAAAGAATCAACAAGGACTAGAAACAAAATACAAAGTCAAACATAGACACACACACACACACAAATATTAGCAAGACATCCAAAGACATCAGCCATAGAAAATGCATACAAACAATTCTCCTTATCAGTCTGTGGGTCATCCAGACTTCAATGTCAGAGAAATGCCAATTTACTATATGTGTTAATTGAAAGCAAGAATCTTGAATGGAAACTCAAGGTTTGTTATAGTTGTAGTATTATGGGGAAAAGTGGAGGCAACATAGAAAACTATACAAATGGGTGTCATTCCCAAATTTCTACCTCACCAACATTTGATGAAATTTGGGAATAAACATTTGTTTGTTTGCTTGTTTGTTTGTTTGTTTGTTTGTTTGTTTCACAACTAATCAAGGAGAGAATCAACCTAGAATTAAGGAGAAATTTCCTGATAGTTAGGGCAATTAATCAGTGGGACGACTTGCTTCCAGAAGGTGTGGGTGCACTTCAGGTTTTTAAGAAGAGATTGGACAGCTATTTGTAGGGTTTCCTGTATGAGCAGGGGGACTAGAAGACCTCCAAGGTCCCTTCCAACTCTGTCATTCTGTTACAGTATATGGAATTTGCATCATGGATTCTTTTGCGCGAGAAGAGGTCTGAGGAGAAATGGATTACCTGCCAAGCCTGTAGCTTCTGAATCTCTAACCTGCTTTCACCCTTCATCACCCACCTCTTGGAGAGAGATAAATGCGCAGCATTTAAGGCCCGTGCTGTGGCCCAGATAATGTTGTAAATGCGAGAGCTGTCTAAAGACAAAATCCTTTGGCAGTCTTCCTGTAGCAAGGTCTTTCGTTTCCCATTCTCTGTGCATCTTATCCAGCCTTTCACAGTCAAGACATCCTTCAAGTACGAACAACTAAAGGCTTTGGCTACAAACTCTCCAACGGAATCATAAAAGGCTTCAAAATCACCAGGTTTTCTCTTTGTATTTGTTGGCATGAAGAAAGAAAAAATGCCACAGATATATTGGAAAGAGACATCACTATATAGCAACTCTAAAGAGAGGTCCCAGAGAGCTGTCGTGACCCAGATTTTTCCTACAATAGGTCTCGTCAAGACAGCGATTACTTTTTGTATAACAAATATTGCTTTTAGGAAAGAACTGGCTTCAGCATAGTAAACAAAGACATTGACCTGCTTCCATTTAAAGAACTGGGCAAAATGAATGTTGACACTCCTGTCAGTGACCGAAATGCTTTGGGATACAACTGCACAAATGCCGTTCTTTATTAGCAGAGGAGTCAAAATCCTCATAAACCTCTCTCCATTGTCAGTGTCTGCCACAATGAGTCCTATCAAGGTCCAGCTAAAATGCAGGAGCAGTTTGATAATTCCAGGCTTCTGGGTTCCATCTTTGGGGACCACATGGTATGAAAAAGGAAACTGGGTTTTATCTGTCTGAGCCGGCAAAACAAAATTATAACTGATCTGAAAAGAAGAGGGAGAGGTATAATGATTTACTTTGCATCAGAAAGCAAAATATTAATTAATCCCCAAATTCGTAAATGTGCTAATCCTCAGGAAGTGGTCCTGCTTCTTCCTAAGAAAGCTGTTTAACGGGAGGATTCTATTCCCACTCTGAAGCTACTTCTTCTGAATTTCTGTGGATAAGAATTTCTTTTAAAATAATCTGCTATGGAGAGGTCAGGGCAATCTTATTATTGTTATTATTATTATCTTAACCTTTTGCTTCTTCTGAGGATCTGCACTCACCAGCTTTGGTACTATTATCTCCATATTAATAATCTCATCCTGAATTTTGTATACAAAATTTCAAGAGGAATTAATTTATTCAAAAAGTCAATTAATTAATTAATTAATTAATTAAGTGTTGCATCTTATGATTTATGCTGAAGTGTTGTATTTTACGATTTATGATGAATGTATTTTCATGTCGTTTATGATCACGATTATCACTATTACCTGCATGTACACTGAGAGCTTATGCATCGGAGACAAATTCCTTGTGTGTCCAACCACACTTGGCCAATAAAGAATTCTATTCTATTTTAGTCTATTCTGTTCTGTTCTGTTCTATTCTGTTCTAGAAAAGTTACCCTCCTTCCTCTGACCAGATATACCTGTGGTATTTTGAAGATGCCCAAAATGGCTGAGATCTGGATATAAATATCAGTGTCGGATCCTTCAAGGACAGCCAATAGGTTTTCCTGTCTTCTACAACTATAGTTTGGAACATTTGCCTCCCCAGTAGAAACCAGGTTTAGCAGACCATCTGAAGTCATCCTGGTGCTATAATAGTTGTCATGGATATTGTAGCCCAGAGTGATGTTGCAGAGAAGCCTGGGGTCTTGGTTGATCTCCTGAATGGCAAAGAGGAAGGAGAGAATTTTCCAGAACATCATGGATCCTTTCCTGTGAATATATGTTTATAGAGGATCCTATAATTTATTTAATTTGTGCTTTTCCATTTATAGTTTACAAACTAATCCAGAATCAGAGTCAACTAAAATTTAATGCCTTGGTCTACTGATAGTCTTCTAACCATGTTCAGGGACCTTTTACAAAACAAGGAGGGTGATTGAATATGTTTCTTATCCACTCAAAACTCACTGAAGTTTTCTTAGCAGATTATGATGCTTTGAAAACTAGGAAAACAGGATGAATGAATGAACCTTTATTATCAAAGTATAACATAAATACAGTGAGATTGGCTGAGCCTCCCTCCGTGCTCCCCCACCACCACAACTCACAGTGACTACAAACTCCCAACTTATTACACCCTGTGAGCTAATTGCACAGCACGCCAGCCTCACGGATCTGTCATGCATGAAATTATTATGTCC